TTGCTTGTTGAGTTTTCTCTTGTTTCTGAGGCTGGCTTCTGAGTTTTCCAAGAAAATTACCGAAAAAGGAAATTTTTAAGGAAATTTAGGATCAGCGGAAAGAGTTTTTTAATGTTATATTTTAAATTAATTTATTTTATTTTGAATACTTAATTATATTGAATTTATTTATTAAGTTCATTAATTTAAAAGTTACATTAAAATTAAAAAAAAATATTATTAATATTATTAATTTATAATTATATACTGTATTATAAACTATTGTTATTGAAGTATCAAATAAAAATCTATAATACCAAACAATAAAAACTTGTAAGTTTAATATCAACTAGTCCAGTTATGTTGTTAATAATTATGTATTAACCATTTAACTTATAACTAGATCTATTTATTTAAGGAGCAATGGTAAATTTAGCTAGAATGAATTATAATAAGTTATTATGAATCTGTATAAGATTTAATTATCTAATAAAGGGCTTATGTTTAATACTAGTTATAGTTTAAAAAATAAAATCTATAATATCAACTGTTTACAAGATAGTTATTTCATTATTGAAGATTATTAATCAAAGTAATCATATTATTTATAAATATAAGAAATCCACACCATTGGTTTGAATCATAGAGATTATAATTTTAAGAGAATCAAGATAACTAATAAGAAAAAAAAAAAATAAATTCTTCCATTGTTAATAACCTTCATTGCAACTTATTTCAAAGATAAAAGATTTTCATATACTTTATAATTGTTTTTCCTAAACAACTTTGATAAGTATTGTTAAAATTAAAAATGTTATTTGATTTTTTTTTTTTTGGTACTTAGAAATCAAGTTTTCAGTCAAAAAGATTTATAAATAAGAAAAAGAAGGTAGAAATAATTCTTGAAAATATTTTTTAAAGGAAAATATCAAGATTTTGTTAATCAAAAAGTCAAAAGACTTTATGTGAATGTCTATTTTGTGTGTGATCAGAGGATCAGCCACATGAATCAACCTTTTTTATTTTGAAATTAACATTAGGTTCAAAAAAAAAGTTCTCTGATGGATTTTTTACTTATGTTTTTTGCATCACTTTAAGGTGTCTTCGATGTGCCTTGTGATTTCGTGTAACTCTAGACGCGTCACGAAGATCGCACGCAATTCACGGCTTGCGAAATTATATATAGTCCGAAGTAAAGCGAAATGCTATAAAATTATAGGCACGTTAACAAAAACGCCTGTTTGACGTTCACTTATCACGTGAAATGTACGATACGTTCTTAAATAAAAGTATTTATAAAAAAAAAAAAAGTATTTATAAAAAAAAAAAAAGTAAAGCTTCGAACTCAACAACAATTTCCATTTTCCTAGTTTTATATTATTATACATTCGCATAACAAATTTGCACACAAAATTTATTTATTTTGCATTAGCAAACTTCACACATTAATTTAACAATTTCATAATAATAATTCTTAATTGATTATACATTGAAAAAAAAAGAAAAAAAAAAGAAATGACATTAAAATTTCAAGAATCATTCTGAAGAAAAGGATTCCGAAAATTTTCATTTAAAAAAGTTCTCGGTATTGTTTAAGGCGGAGTGATTGCTGCAGTTGATGGAGGTGTGTTACTACTGCTGACCGAAAGGTTCGCTCCTGTGAGTGAATTTTGGCGTTTACGTTGATTTGGATTACAAGTAGTCGCGAGAATACTGGAAAGGTCAAGAACGGAGCTGGAGACTTCTCTGAAGAATGGAGCGGTGCCACCTTCTCCGTCCAGTTGAACATCAAAAATACCAGTCACGTCAATGATAGTGTTGCCGCATTTGTCTTTGATGAGGAACTGGGGATCACAATTTAGACCTTTCGAGACGAGACCATAGATAAAGGTTGTATTGCCGTTTTCGGCGAAGGTAAAGATGGCAACCAATTCAGCATCGAATTCTGCATGGGCAAGTGTATTGCCGGCTCGCTTAACCAAGTGATTAGGAGGGTATCCCGCAGTTGATCCATCGATGGAGATAGCGAAAATGATTAGGACAAAGGCCAAGAATACAATTTTGTTTGTCATTTTATCTTTTCTATTTATTATTATTATATTGGTAAAATTTTTTATGAACAGGGTTCTTATTGGTTACAGTGTTGTATCGAATTGTTTTCGATGAGGAGAAAGCAAGAAATTACAGTCCCTTTATATACTTACGTATCCTATAAACAAGTAAGCTATTGTTACTGTGCGTATACCTTTAATTGAATGTTTGAATCTCACAAAAGAAAAAATTGAACACAAAAACTAAATTCATTTTACCGTCGCAGTTTACTCCTGAACGCCATTCTCGAGTTATTGAAAGATATGAAGATAACATTTTCGATGCGTCTGTAACAAAGAGAGAGAGGTAGAGTGCATAATTTGTTGTCAGATGTCGGACAGCGTATTTTTTTTTTTTTTCCTTTTCTCTTTTTGCCGTTGCTGTTTTTAGCTTACCAAATCATCCTCTTTCTCTCAGCATCATCATAATAACCTTTATTGTCGTGTCATTTTAATGAAAATGAATTTGGTATCTTTTAATTATAATATATAATGCGTACCCGCACTCTCATTTCCGAAGAAAAGATAAGAGTTGCACAAGAAAAATATTTGCATTCTATCCTCGGACGCAATTTATTTGTATGTTGGTATTATTACCAAAAAATTATGATGGCAACTTCGCCTATCCTGTAAAAAAACGGAAGGAATCAATAATAAACGGCGACAAAAGAAAACTTGTAAATAACCTGTGTACCATGTATCACCGCAAAAAGGGGGCAGAGTAATCCACGAGGGATGATACCAAAAAAGAAAACTTCTCACCAACTGGAACAACTTGATTTCTTCGATATTGCTTGAACGACTCTAAAACATCACACAAATATTTTTCTGTAAAAGATGGTAAGATCGGATGTGGTATATCCGAATAATCAAGAATTCCGCATCAAAATATTCTTGGCAGACAGAGCCCAGCCATGCTTCTCGTACAAAGCGAAGATATTGCGATTTAGGGCAGTTGATCTATGTCCTTAAAAGAGAAATTGTTTATATAAAATATATAAAATACGCACGCACCTCACATTTCACAGGGTAGCGTGTGCCCCGTGATGAGGTCAGGGTGCATAGGAAAATGCTCAGTATATTTGATGATTATTATTTTATCACCGCTACATGATGTTTCTTGCTATAAAATACCGTCTTCATGATTTACTTAAGAATATACGATTACTGTGTACGTGTCACCTTTTAGGAACAATAGATAAATATCAGGAATTCTTCGGACTATGGAGTTATATAAAACGGTGACAAGGAATTCAATTTCACACATCTGTCCATAAATGTATTGCGTTTATTTCCCAATTACTATTGTTGGCTTCCACAAATGGTTAAGCGTGAATGCAATGTATATTGCAAAGCAAGCATGTGTTACGTACAGCACAGTACGTATCCGCATAACTTTTGATTTATTTTTTTCCGTTACACATAAAATATCGATCAATGAATGTCTCTTTGTTTATATCATACATGAATCTTGAAATACTGTACAGTTTCATATAACGATAATCGGAGTTAGAAACTGATTTTGACGAATTGAAATTCGAATGTGTAACGTATATTTACAGATAAATCATTGGCTTATTATCACGAAAATCGGATTTATCTCAATTAGGAAGTCTTCAGAAGGCATTTCCTTTTCCCGACCCATTAAATCACTTATTCCGGGGGACTACCCTACACAGGTGCGGGCACACCATACATTATTCAGCACCCTTTTCTTCTGGTCATGAACCGCGAAGACGAGAATCAAATGTAGCCACACAACCTCGCAATGTGTTGTTATTCTGGTGATCTGATCGCGTTATCACGTGACAACAAATATAATTCATGACGCATTCTTCGTTGACATTTCACAGGCAAAAATCCGAGACGAGAATGATTATTCGATAATGAACTAATCGCATTATTGACACTGCGTTGGCACTGTATTTTCTTTGTTTCACAAATTAAAGTTGTAATAATTTTCACATTTACGTGATTATTAATTAGAAGACGAAAACGATTATTATTTTATGTTTCAAATAAAATTTTTCATTCATGTTTTTTAAACCGATCAATATACTGTGCTACTAGAAATTCGTGTGCGCGAACCTACTCAAAAACATCAAGCGATTTTTATGATGGTAGAATTTCTTATTTGATTTCTTCGATCCTCTCTTCAACGATTTCAAGATTTATTTCATTGGACTTGCTATTCTCACCCTTCAATTCTTTGACCTCCTCATTTTCTTCACTTTTCAAATTTTCTTGATCTTTTCCCTTTTCTGTTTCCGTCGATGGTTTTTCCCTGAAAAAAAATATCTTCACCATAACTTCAATGCTGCTCACAAAAAATTTGACACATATCACGACCAATAAGAGGAACGGCACTATGCTGTATGTGACTATTCTTTCGTAGTAAATGACCTGTTTTAGATGATATCATGGGATTCGATCAACAAATTTACGTATTGATAATGATTCGTGTGCTATAACGAGGAATCTGGAAACTCACCTGAACAATGATCAGAGGAAGGTTCCTAAGAAAAACATCACCGATCCCTGAGATAATTGTAGCAATGGATGTAGACCTCACAAAGAAAACTTTGACCTCTCTGTTTGATTCTTTTTTTTCCGCGGCTTTATCTTTTATCATTGTTAGACCAGCGTTCAATGTTTCAATCTTTTTTTCTAATGAATAATCCATTATTTCCTTCACAATATTCATGGCCTCGTTGTCAATTATAGAAAAAAGTGCCAATAATGATACCAGGTTGGATTTATTTTTGTAAATGAACTTTACGGAATTCATAATCAGACCTTCGCCTTCGCTTTTCGCCAAATCTTTCAATGTTTCAGCCATGAAGAAACTTCTTCCCAAGATAAACAACGTGACAACTATGATGAAGTTTACGATGATCGCAATGACCAAGAAAGCTATACTTTAATTTTATAAAATGTCAATAAAAATCTCGATATTTCATACGGTCCACATCACGCAACGGGAATTACCTTGCAGCACGGAGCTCTGGTTTATCATAAGAATTATTGGAAAGGAAAATAGTGGTAAGGAGAAAATTGGGGACAACCAATCCAATCCTCGCCATTATGATACCAATTAGTTGCTATTGAATTTTCAAGCAAAAGAAAAATTAACGAGTGCATTGTGAGATGATCCGGAAAACAAAATTCCATCAACAAGAACCCTTTCTTTACCGTCAATGTATTCTTTATTTTCCCTTTTCTATCATCATCATTAGCCTCTTCCCCTTTGACCTCATCCTCTCCTTTTCCCAATTCCTCCTTATCCCCTTCATCCTCCTCATTCCCTTTGTTCTTTTCATCCTCCCTTTCCTCAGTTTTTATGAGACCACAACTTATCGGCCTTATCCAATTCATCACCTTATCCTTAATTTTCGTCAACCGCTCTTCCCCTCCAACTCTCTTTATTATCTCGTCCAAAAAGTAAGTTAACAATGCTATTCCCATGTAGAAGGCGAAGAACAAGAACAGGGAAATTATCAGAGTTTTATCTTGTTCCCATAAATTGTCTGCGTTATGAAAAAAGAAGTTAATTACGTAGTCGCCCATTTTACAATTCAACCTAGCCATCCTTAAAAAATACATCAATGATCAACTCACATTGCAGGACGAAACCATATTTCGGATCCAAGTCATTTGTGCAATTACCAAGGGAGATGGGGGTGACCATTTTATTTGTAACCATTTCGTTCAAATCCGAGACCACCCCTGGAACGGTCCTCTCGGTATCATTAATTGTCATGTTTATGCGAAGGGAAACCATTATTTGTTCGTCCGGTTGACCATAATTCACAAACTGAAATCTATTATTTGAAGTGAGCCGAGCGCGCCTCACCGGTAACGCGTCGGAAAGTTGTGTCAACAGGTCACTAAAATATTCGGATCTCTCCGAACCAGAAAGGGACTTGAATCTCTCCGTGGCATCCGAAGTCAGACGCAGCGTGCCGAATGCGGCCTCAACTTCAAATAGAGTTTGCGTGTGGTGAGATCATAGGAATCAAAGAATCCACGGCGTGCGTGTCCATCAATGAATGGGCATACCTGATTGTTTCGCCTCAACATCTAAACAATTTGATGACAGTCAGTAAGTTTGGGATAATGTGACAACAAGATCAAATGAAACATGACATTACAAGAGATGATGGTCCAATTGTTGCTGGGGATTCCCAAAAGAGGCTCATCATACTTTTTACTTCTAACAAAGTTATTATCCATCTTCACAACATATGATGCGTTATACAAGTTGAACGTGCTACCAATGATTGCCAATGTAACCGTCAAACCATCCTGACTGACTTGACAGTATTCATCCATCGTCGCTGATATTCTCTGTCGAAAATTATCGCCAGTGTCGGGGTATTGATAAATGGTGACGTTACCGGAAGACAGAATTACAGGATCGTAGAACGTGATACTGAGGTTTGATATGGTCGAAGAGATGGTTCCGCCGAGGGATGGAAAGGTGTGATTTATCAGGATATTTCCGTAGCCATGATCTAAACAAACGCGCAAAAGTTATCAAGGTTTGACATTTAATGGTGGTTAACTGGGAATCAAATATGACCATACCCAAATCCTTTAGGATGTCGGGCAACGGATAGGTAAACAAGGACCAGGAAGTATATGAAGGCGGTGGTGGTTGAGAAAGTAAGAAAGTATTGTTATTCTTCATGATACTTCTAGCATAAAATTTATCCGTAGGAATGGGTAACGTTAAGTTGGTCAGGGGGTAGAATTTATTATTGTTATCGTACGCAAAGATGTATGTCCCGTTGACACTAGTATATTCCAATATGTAACCGCCATAAATCATTGAATCTACTGTCCATCCCAATTCCTGCACACCGGAAAGGGAAGGGAGTTCTGATATGAGGGAGGAATTTATCACGGATCCCGAAGATAAAAAGTAAACTTGCAGGTAATCAATCGAAACGTTTGTGAAAGTCGTGCCGTTAATTGTCGTGACGTTGGTAAAGGTCGCGGGAAACGTGCAAACTTGACCAACACCAACGGACACTATGCCACAATAAATGCCTCCAAATGTTACATTAAGGGGTGTTTGATAGAGAAGATAGACGTTGTTGATGCTTTGATTGTAGGGTATAAAGGTAGCATACATCCCGCCACGTATCGTCGGTGATGGATCGGAGGAGTTATAGCTCGAGGAATTGACATAAATTATAGCGTATCCTCCATCGATGGTGGCCATCGTGGTAAGTGCGCCCGAAGTTGGCGGAGGAACCGGTATGCTGCCGTTCACCAACGATGATACATTTCCGTAGTCATCTCTACACGATTGCATTGTCAAATGATGAAGAATGAGAAGCCATATAACATGCATAGTACTGCAACGAGCATCAAAAATTGCTTACACCAAATATTGCTGATAATCATATTCCTGCGGCTGGTTACCATCGCTTGGTCTTACGGCGGACGACCTGAGGAAACCTTGATTCGCGTTTATATTTTGAACAATCGAACTTTGCGGATCCCAATAACCATTAAAGTTCACATATGATGGACCAAAAATTATTCGACTAATGATTTAACGAATTAACATAGTAAGATCATCTTTATACGAAATAATGATAAAATCCTTGCGAGATATCGGCGGCATACCTTTTAAGTGTGCCAGACCAATCAATGATATCTCCTCCCTCTTGGTAAGAGTAGGGGTCCGAGTAGTTTCGAGGAATCGTGTAACACACCAGAATAAATTGATCTCCCACGGGGTAAACTGTAATGGGATCTTTTTGCGTTGCATTGGTGTTGAAACAATAATTAATGGGATCCAGCTGTAAATTCACATTTATCTCAGTAACGCTTCCGCTTAGGTGTACCACTCTTAGAAATAATTTTTGCTCTGTACAATAAGTGCCATTTACTTCAGTCGCATTGATTCTAAGAATGCGAACAAGAATAGTTCCATCATTATAAGTTCCGATTTGTGCAATGTGAGGTGGTGAACCAGGAAGAGTGGTTTCTGTTGAATTCTCAACATAGATAAAGTTCGACTCGGTCGATGCGATATTCAAACAAAGAACCGCCGCGAACACAATAAAGTACAATGATTTCATCGTTAGTTATCAAGTTTTTTTTTTTTTTTGTTGCCCGCGAAAAAAGGCAGATGAACGAAGACTCACTCAAATTTCGTCTGCTTTTTCTTTTACCTTCCTACTCGCACCCTTAAATATCAGTCGCTCTGCTTGTCAATAACTTTTGGGGGTGTTTTTTGGAATGGATTGGCTGCTTGCACAACATCCACTGAATTAAAATAAGAGATAAGATAGATACTGTGGATGGGTCAATAATGTGGGGGTATTTCACTGTGTCCTCCGAAAATGTGCCAAATCGGTTTTGCATGAAAAAAAAAGAATTCATCGACACTTTTAATAAAGAGAACAATATAATATAAAGGGAATTATAGTATAATAAGTTGTGATTCTAAGGACCCCTTTAATGATTATTGCGCTTGACGAAAATTCTTGGCGTCGTACGCGACACACTGTATTCCCAAGAACTTGTTACTATCTTTATTTGTAACGTCTTCTGCTTTTGTCACATGGAATTTGGTTTGGAATGCACAGCATCGTGTAGATATATTCTTTCGCGAAATGTCCACCTTCTGATTTCGAATTTAATTGATGACATTTTACCACCGAAACATTATGTTTAAATGGATTCATGATAAAGATACGGATGAGCTCCGAATTAGTTGCCCTCGTGGTATGCTACAGTATATCAAAAATATGTTAAGAAAACGATAATACGGTGTGGTAGTAGTGTGGTAGTAACAGTGGCAGGATCAAATTTTTGAAATACAGTAATTGCATAAATGGGAAAAAAAACTTAATTTATGCGCAACGCAATAATAAATCATAAATACAATATAATTAGGGATGTGAAAATGAATAATAATAAACGATCGCGTCGAGAATATACATTTATGGATACTGAAAATAAAATTTGGATAAGTGGCGTGCTGTTCGCTGATTCCATATAAGGAAACAGGCAATAATATTTGGAACCATTCATATCACGTGACTTCGCTTGATGTCAAATCAAGTACGTACCGACCTAAGATTAGATAATCTTTTTAAATCCCCTCCATTCGTTATGACCCAGCTGCGGAAAGAATGAATGGGTTGGGAATTATTTCCTAATGAATTAGACCAATGGTCAAGGTCGTCGTTTAAAGGAATTGAAAAATCATCCCTGATTATGTCGTATATGCTAGTTATCACTAATACAATCTACGTAATTGAAATGGTTTAATAATTGTGATTTCAAAAGAGCCAATAGCGCTGTCATACATTGATTCACGCGTTTCTACAATGTGCAGCAGCACGGCATATCATGCTTACAAATACATTTCTCAGTAGCTACTGTATCTTCATCATTTGCAGCCTTGCATTGCGAAAAAAAAAGGTTCTGCCTTGACCGAATTCTTAACGACTAGACGATACTACGCACGCTCGTAAAAAATATTCCGGGTGCGCCTTATTGTACTTTGTGTTGAACACCAAAAAAGTGACAAACCATTGGCGAAATACTTGATCAACGTACGCCTATCAACTTTTCGGAAACAATCCCCCGTATCGCGAAACTTTAATCACAATATCATCCAAGTTTTCGACGAAAATATGTCGATTATTTTTGTTTTATAATTTTAGAGTCATTTTACAGGCATTCGTGCCTTTATATGTTCGCGAAAAGGTAATAATTGTATTAAATTCGTGAGTTATTTTCATTGCTGAATCTTCTTTCATCGTACACTATAGTTTTGTTGAATATAAAATTCGACCAAAGGTTTATTATGTACAACCTGAACAATTGTGATCAATTACGTATTGGCTAATACGTACAGTATCACTGATTTACACACTTTTATCTCATTTGTGCGTAGTACGTGTCACAATTTATTAAAGTTTTCATTAATTTCGAAAATTTAATATACTGTACATATTCAGGAGTTTTATTTCAAGAGGTTGTGTTTAAATAATTTATGGAATTTTTAATTTATTCAAATGTTTCGAAGAAATATTAATTGTTGTGTTTTATTATCATGATTATCATCATTATAATAATCATTACTATTATTAAAAGTTGCTCTTACTTTCCCTTTCTTGTTTATATTTCTTTCATATAAAAACTTTCAGTAATCAAGAAAATCAAAAAAAAAAAAATTTTTTTTATACCTGCAGCAAGAAAGTTCTAAAAAAAAGAAGGACCAATAATATAGTACTGAAAATCTCTCTTATAAAGCAAGAATGTATAAGTGATCTTACATGATAGGAAAATAAAATCTAAAAATAAAAACCTTCTCTACCTGTTGTTTTAACTCTTACAATTACTCATTTTTCAAACTTTTTAAAAATTTTTGTCTATCTCAATTTGATCTTGAATTTTAATGTAATATAAATCAATATAATTTTTTCTAATAATAATTGATTAATATGAAACATATAATATAAACAAATTAGACCTATGGGTCAATAATGCAGTGATTAACACTCCATAGATCATATCACAAGGTTACTAGATCACATCCTTCAGGGGGAAAACTCCTAATGCTGGTAGATCTAACCCATTGGTATAACTGTAAACTAACTGATGCTTCCAAATATAATTACTGATCATTGGTCAAATAAGAATTCTGATGTTATTACAGAATGGTTTATATAAAAATTGTATATAATTGAATGTCTGAAATTGAATAGGATTATCCTAACACAATCACATTATTGAAAAGAATTGGTAATAAGAAGAGTAGATGTTGAACTGGTAGTATATTACTAAAGACAAAAATGGTAAATCAACTGAAGAAAATCCAGTTACTTGTCTTAATTTTAAGGCATCTATTCAAGAATTCAAGTATGTGACTGTGCCATATTTTATAAACTTGACTATCGGAAGACCTTAGTAAGAAAATAAATACATAAATCACACCAAAGAATTAAGAAATCTGAAAAGTTCAAGATAAAAAAAATTTGATAACCTTATATTTAGACTACTCTTAATATAAATAAAATTTATCTGAAAAAAATTAAGAAGGAATCACATATCTTTCTAAATAGATAGTACTATATATAGAAGTAAAAAATATATAATTACTTATGTATATAGATAGGTTTACTTCAAAAATATATAATTACTTGTTAACAAATATATAATAAAGGGATTTGTACACAAAAAAAAAACTCTTTGTCACAGATTACTGATTTCTTAAAAATTTTCTTTTATGGTAATTTTCAAAAAAAAAGAAAAAGTGAATGGGGAGATGAGTTCACAAAGAGAACTGAGAAGCAGGTATCTACAAACAAAACCCAACTACAATAAAAACTTTTTGATGAAAGAAAATACAAAAGTTATAAACAAGGAATCCAATATAAAGCTTCCAAATGAAAACATATTAAACAAAGAAAAAACAACCAACTAAGTTAAAAACAAAAGATATGAACAGGAAAATAACATCAACAAAATGCAATACACATCAGAGAAAGGAAAAGAAGCTGAGCAAACAAGATTTTTCATAATAAAACCCTAGGCACAATGGAATAAACAAGTTAAAGCAAACTTTTAATAGGATAATTAAAATATAGAAAACCTCCATACTCTAAAGAGGGAAACAACACATGAAACCACTAAAGCAGCATTTATAATGGAACCCTAGGAACTGAATGAAAAAATAGAAGCAGAAGAGTATTACATGTAAAAGAAGATTAAACCAGATCCAACCACAAATACAATAGAATATAAAGAACCATTTACCTATATAGCAGACTAGAAGGAAACTTTAATTCCTATCACAAATCTAAGTCAAGATCCCTCTTTGATAAAAGCACCAAATACAGCAGAGAAAAAGTCAAAGTCAGTATCAAAGCTACTGAAATCTCAGGAAAAATATCCACTTAAAAGATCATATACTTGATAAGAAGCCTTAACTCTCTTAAAAGTTTAATGACAATCTGTAGTAAGGGAAAAAATGAAGATAAACATATTACTGCATATTTGGAGATCAACAGGTAACTAACAAAGTATACAATACAATTTTACTTGATATTGATCAAAAACATTTTAAGTATATAGAAAATACTTCACCAGAACAGAAAAGGGAAAACAGTATTAGAGTATGGAACATCTCGCTAACACAAAATTCACCGATATGCAACAAACATTTTTCAAATATGGAGTGATTACCAATATTAGCATGTCCACATAACAAATATGGTAAACTATAACTATCACCTTTACTAGAAAAGAAGAGAAGACCAAATTATAAAAAAATAGAGCATCTTTATGAAAGTAGTCTCAGTTAAAGTTTTTGATATACAATGGTCCTTACAATAAATAAAAGGTCATGGCACTATTACAGTCAAACTCACAAACTTACCATCAAATACTATAGCCTTCAACCTCCATCATATATATATATAAAGCAAGGAAAAGACATGTTACATCCCAAAACATATGTTATATAAAAGAAAATACTTTGCAATTATCAGTTTTAAAACACAAGAAGACTTAAATGTAACAATAGCACAAAGTTTTCAACTAGGTAAAACTATCATAGAATAGAAACCTGTTAAGACTAAACTATGTATTATATATGGCAGTGCAGATCACTTAGTAGTGAAGTGCCTATCCAAGGAAAGAATAGCACAATGTCAACAATATTATCATGAACAAGCAAATAAATTTGGAAAATTATATAATAGATATAAACTAGTATATATAAGTACAGTTATAAATCTGACAAACCCTTCTAAAAATAAAAGAACATGTCCAGGCTTCTACACAGTAGCAGTTAGACAAAACCATAATAATAAGGAAAGACCTAAGAACCAAGAAGAATACAATACTCTCAATAAAATCTTGATAATTTTGAGAAATTTTCAAAAAGAACTTGTAACCATTAAAGAAAACATTGTAGATCTTGATAAAATAATTATGTTCCTAGAAGGGGAAAACTTGAAGATAACAAGCCAAGTTGAAGATAAACCTATCTCATTAATTAGTACAATAACAACACAGCACTCCAATATAGAAAAAAATTAACAAAATAGTATCCAAGCACAATAACAATAACTATACTTGTTAATTAATAAGATAAACAGCAACATAAACAGAGTTCTTGAGGTGATACTGGACTTATCCCAAGAAACACAAATATATAAACCCAATAACAATAATATGAAAAGTACTATTGATACTTTATCCAAAGAAAAAAATATAATTAAAGATACTTTAGATACTAAACCAAATAAAGAAATTCAAGAAGACAACATGAAAAACACAACACAAAAACTTTACAGATCAGTTTACCTTTCAACAAACACTTCTTAATAAAAATTATAACCAAAACATAGAACAGTAGAAACAGTTTGATCACCAATTTGAAAAGTAGCTACCTTCAACTATTAAGGAATCATAAAATAATACAAAAGACAAAGCTGATTCAATATAAGCTATATACAGCAGTGGAGCATAATAGTTATTACAGAGACAAATAAGTCTCCAGCACAATCAAAACACTGGAAACATTTTGAATATCAAATAATCTAGATCCATGATAAAATAGAAATAATCAAACAAGGTTTAAATCTAATGATACATAAAAATATCACTACACATTTCTACATCTATCAAACATGAAAAGATAAATTAATCCAAGCAGATTTGACCTTCTCAAATAAAAGAAAGGTTCACATTATTGGCATCTGCTTTTCAACAGATCCAAGATATAAGAAAAGACAAAAATCGCTGAATACCTTAACCAAATAGATAGAAAATGCAAAACAATAAAATTGAAACATAATAGTTTTGTGAGACTTAAATGGCACACTAAATTCATTACTAGACAAATTCAACAACAGAAGACTAACTATTTTAAACAAATCCTCAGGTTCTCAAATAGAGGTTCTTCTAAACAACAACCTTGAAAGCACCTTTCGAATCCACAATCCACAAAAAAAGGAGTATATATGAAAAAAGACAGCAAATGTTGAATTAATTAAATATGGATTAATCAAACCACTACCTGGCAAAGTAGAAAGGCTATCATTAAGGACATAATAAATTCCTAATAAGCAGTAATTATGCTTCCATAGTAACAGAAATCAAAGTTTGAAACCTAAATATAAGCAAGAAAGCAACACATCATAAATCAAATCACAAATACAACTAGTACCTTATTAATATAGAACAATAGATAATGTTTTCCAGGGAAATTGAAGAAGGATTGAACAAATATTCAATAATACAAGGATCAATTGATAAAAAATAGAATGTCTATGCACCTACATTCTCAAAGCAAGCAAAAAAACCACATTCCAAAAAGAAAACACCCTCATAAGAAGAGAATATATCTTGATATACACAAATAAGAGAACCCTTTGATAAAACTACAATAGTGGAAAAATCAAATCTAACAAATTTGTGCAGATATTATACCAGATGTAAATAAAATATCAGCACCAATAAGAACCACTTTCCAAATCTGATGGCACAATTATGGAAAATCCAAAGAGAACATTCAAATAAATATCTTTAGTAATGGATAAATATAATTTATTAAAACATCAATGTATATAAGATTGTGAGTAAAGCCATCAAAAATAAAAAACATCTGAGAATAATACAACAAAAAATTGTTATCGGACCAATATTCCTGGCAAGCAACAAAAGGGCAATAATTGATGGGATCCTGGAGTGACCACATAGAAAGATAATCCTAAACAAGCAAATAGAAAAGAATAAGGAGATAAACATTATTATCGACCCTGAAGCAATAAAAAACAAAGTTAAACAATACTACCACACCTGGATTTCAGCAAGAAAAACTTAATTCCTATACAATCACCCACTCTGAAAAAGAGAATACAGACCAAAGGATAAAATTAATAAGAAAAAATATATATTAGTATTACAAGATATATTCTTGAAAGAAATAAAGAAAACTATCAGAAGCTGTAGTTCCAAATTAGCCTAGACACAAATCAATTTCCATATAATTATACAAAAAACTTGGTGTCAAGGCCTTGGAAACAATCTAAACAATATTCAATCAAATACTCGAGCATGGAAAAACATCAAGAAAATAGAGTAAAGGAACAATTTACCTAATCACTAAGTCAAAATATTGGAAAACAACTTAGATATAATATATCCTATTACTTTACTTGACACTGGCAGAAAAATTTTCACAAAAATTATAACTAATAGACTAGCCAAATGCCTCAAAGAGAATAATATTTTATTTGAACTAAACGGAACAGCACTTCTAGGAAGCAGCACTCAAGAACCAATACATATTTTAAATAATATTATTGAACATACCAAAAAACATATGAAACAAGCTTGGATCTTAAGTCAAGACATGTCGAAAGCATATGACACAGTAAATATAAAGATTCTAACTAAAGCAATGCATCAAATAAAGATTTCACAATAGATAATTAATATCCTAACAAATATACTAGAGAATAGACAAAACATTGTACTTATTTGTATGGACCTATAGAAGTATATAGTATAAATAATAGTATTAATCAAGAAGATACCATCTTCTCTCTATTACAAAGAATTTTCTACAATCTCCTTATTACAAGAATCAAAAAAGAATTCAAAAGATACTCAATCTTGTCTAAATTTTGCACAAACTTGGAAACAGGATAGAAAAGAACCTGTATAAACATGGCAGTAAGTACTTATAAGATGACACAACCTGGATTATAGACAATAAAACAGAGCTACAACAAATAATGAAAAGGGTAAACAATTCTATCACATCAACAACATTCAAATCAATCCTCAAAAGTCATAACTAATCATAATAAATGGGAGAAAGAGAGACTATGAATCATAGGTAACAATGAATCAACAAATGATAAGAAGTAATCCAAAAGACACACCAGTTAGCATTTTAAGGGTCTGGCATAATAACTTGCAAAAGAAGAAATATCAAAAGACACTTATTCAACAGAAAGTCAGGAAAATTAGGACACTCTTGAATATAAAGAGAGTAACAGACAAGCAAATATAATATATAGTAAATCATATTTAGTTACCCAGCATAGAATATCTATACAATAACATAGTACTAATAGAAAAGGATTGTAACCTCTTAATTAGCAGTATAACAACAATATACAAACACAAACCAGGTCTGCCTAAAACTATATCTTATAATTTGCTATATATTAAATATAAGTATGGTCTCTTTCAAATTTGGGATAGACAGTTGCTTCTATATGTCAGAAATTGGCCAGCAATAATAAACAATGACAACATAGCAAGAGAAATTGTAAGAGTTAGACTTCACGAACTACAGAATCAGTTTTGGTTAATCAATAATTTATATAGCCATTTAACTCAACCATTTAGAAGACAAGGGGTAAATTTGATGCATGACATTATCTGATTACTAAAAAGACATAGAATTATATTCAAAACATATAAGGAGAACCTATCAGCTACAATAATAGAAATAGATACTACTATTGAAAGCATTATAAGTAAAGCTTTTTATAGTCAAAACTGACATAAATTATAAAAATAAAGGCTTCTATTTACAGAATAACTACTGAATGCAAACAAAACCAAAACTTTGCACTGGTGTCAAATAATCAGACCCAAAAAGAAGTCAACTCCCTATTTAACTCCAATCTGGTTTCATACTATAAAAAACCTAGTTAATAATAAATTAGAAAGAATAAACCTGCCCTTGAAAAAGAAATCAACACCTACATTATACTTTGATAACTAATTACAATACAGCAAAACCATATTGGATATAACTAAACATGATCAGGAAATTATAATAGGAAGAAAATAAAAAAATGAATGAATAAAAATGACATACTTTATAGATACCACATACAAGAAAAAGAGCAATTTCTATTACAGGCTTGTACCAAATGTCCAAGAAATATGTAGAAAAACTTGAAATATCAACAGAATATACCTTTATCAATGCAAAACAACAAGCAGTAAACATCCCGATATATAAATTAGGGTATTATGCAAAGAGAACCCACAGCAACCAGCAGTCAGTAATATAGAAAAACTGTATATCCCAAATTCTATAAATACAGCTCTGGATGAGCTTACCATCAAAGGAAACATGATGCAGAAACAAAAAATCTGAATATTTATACTGGAAAAGACAAGAAGTATGAAATGCCTAATTAAGACTAGACCAGATCACAAAGAAATTAATAAATATAGTTGCAGTATTCGAGAATCATGTAATATTTGATATATATACAGATAAATTACTTACAAAAATCAACAGTAGTTTTCACATGGGTTTCAGATGGATTATAATATTCCCTAACAAGCAAGAATTCAAATTTCAAGGTCAAATTCAAAACCATACATCATAAATAAGGGCAGAAATCACAGCCATCTTTACAGCAATTAATGTTTTGCCGGAATATAGCAAGACCAGAATTTTTACAGATAATTAAGCAACCATAAATGGGATAAATAAAGTAATGTGAATCTCAGAAAACAAAATAATAAACACACAAAAAAATATAACTCTTCTTATCCAAATCAAGTATTTGTGTAAAAGAAAGAACATTAAAATCGAAATACATAAAATAAAACATACTCAGGAATAGAATACAATGAGCAAGCAGACAAATTAGTACAAATAATACAAATTCAAGATATGAAAACAAGAAATAAAATACTAGAAATATATTCACATATATATAAACATTCAACAATTATCTTACAATAAAACAATCAAAACATGGATATTTTACTGAAAAAAAACAATATAATAAATAATCCAGCAATATATCTAGCAAAATAGAGACTATTAAATAGAATCAGATGTACCTTTAATAATTAAACAATTTTACAGATTTACTGAAAAACAACAATTGGCCACTTGCAATATATAAAAATGAGTAACAACAAAACAAACTGGGAGGATAAAAAATACAGAAGGTTCAATCTGAGTTTATAAAACAATGAATTTCAACAAAAACAAAACTACATAAAAGATTAACAACAATCGATCATAATAACAAATGCATAAAATATGAAGAAGTTGAGATTTGTATCCACCTTTTCATCTCTCAGAAACATAAAGAAAAAACAGAATAAAATCAAAAAAAATAATAATAAACAGTATAAATACATACAAAAAGCAAAAGCCAAAAGAATCCAACAGGGATCTTACAACAGTTGAGCTAGATCTAGATCCACATCACATCTTGTAGCCTTTATTAAAAATGCAATTTTTAAAAAAGCCTTTTTAAAATCAGAGAGGCTATCAAAGAAAAGTATACTAGAATCCAATACATAATAGACATATGAACTCAATAATAGAATATCTCCATGAAATATAGATTGACGATATGAACAGTTCCAAAAATAGAAACATAAAGTAGATATTAATAGAAAAAAAGAGAGAGTAGCTAAGTATAGCACAATTATATTAGATATCTACTTCACAGAAAGAGAGCTTCATATTAAAAACCAATTTACAAAATTTAACCAATAGTTAAACATTAGTGAAGATTATTGAGAAATGCACAGATATAGAATAACAATATAGTACAGTTATTTTATTAATAGTAACCTCCAATTTTGGAGATATACAGATACATTGTATAACTAATTATGTCATTATTACTATATAATTGATTGATTATCTATTTATATCATTTCAGCTATAAAACTTTTTAACGATTGAGGGTGAGTTAAATACTATATGGTATTTCTAGCTATAAGGGTAGGTGTCATATGATATTCTATATTTATGCTAGTTCATATATTTCCCAATGATCTTCACTAATGTTCAACTATTGGTTAAAATATACTTCACTCGCTCCGATATAGAATATCAATATAGACTTTAAAGTATATACTATTGCAACAATTGTACTTGGTTAAATACTGTATAAGTAAAGAAGTTTTATTTTTTTCTAACATCCTTTTAATTCCTTGCTAATAGAATTTCTGATAGACTATATAGCATATCCAGTTGCCTAATTCTAGGATAGTTGATATGTTAGCACTGCATTTTAAGCTAAGAAAGCCAAAATCAGTCTAATGTCTTTAGCTTTGGCTCTGGACTCTGACTGAACTAAAATATGTTTAAGCCATCTGAAATTGTATCAACTATAGCTTGTCTATAAGAAATAGTGATTTTTAATAACAATAATTCACACTAATCTTGATTATTCCTTTATGATGTTGTTCTCTCAATAAGCTTCAAGGTGGCTGATGTAGGATATAAACCAAAATCTTCATAATAATCAATGAAAATTTTCTTTGTTTTGCATTTGTTATCTTTATAAACAATAGATATGTTAACTTCTTTAGGATGATTGATTTTAAAGAAGATTTCAGATTGTATCTTTTGAAAAGATAATAGTCTAATACAATGGAAATCACTAGGTCTAAAAGTGCTACATAGTGCAATTATGAATATTATCTTATGAGATAAGTCCAAAAAAGTCATTTTATTATTATTGCCTAAACTAGAAATATAATTTATTGATGAAATAATATCAATTGTATCATCTGATAGAATAGGGAGTGGATTCAATTTGTGAATAGGTACCATAAATTTTGCAATATCTGGATATCTACCAATTTAATAGCCATCGATCAGAACATGAATTTCACTAATTGCTAAATATTAAGAAGCAATGATATTATATGCCTTCTGTTGTTTTACCATTTCATTTAAAAATTCAATAATATTAACTATAGAATATCGAAAGAGATTCACTTCCTATGTATTAGATCAAAGATTTTATTTGTTGATTGATGAACCCATAGTAATGTTTGAACATTTGTTTATAGAATTCTGGATCATTTCAATAACTTCTTCTGGAAAATTTTTTACTTGGAGTCTTGTCCATATACTAGATAAATGAATAGTTTTTAACTTGAGTTGCATAAAAGATTCAGTGGATTCAATAAACTCTGATTTATCAGATGACATTTGAAAGAAGTATTGAAAAGTCAATTAATAAATTCAGTAAAAGTGGGAACCAAGATATTATTTTTCAGTATGGAATTATTAGATATATTGTTACTCAATCTCTGATTATCTTAATTAAAATATGGAATATAAGAATTCATGGAGAATTCACCCATGAATAATCTTGTGATCAGTAATATTTCATTGCATCAGCTCCAAGTGTAAATGGGTCTAGGTATCTTGCATAATATCTTGGTAGCAGAGTGTTCTAGTTGTTGACAAAGAGATCTATTGTAAATGGATCCCACTTGAACATTAAATAAGCAAAAATCTGTGGATTTAGTTATTAATCTTGTTGTTCAATCTTATATCTCCATGCTTGATCTGCTTGAATGTTATATTTTCCCGAAAGATGTCAAGCAATTATTTTGATTTCTCAAGTCAGACAAAGATTCCAGACTGTTTCTGCTAAATTGCTCAACTTCTGAGATATAGTTTCATCTTGGTAATTTAAGTATGCTACTGTTGTTATATCATCTGATTTTATTATTATTGTTTGATTGCTGATCTTATTGAATATTAATAGAGCATAATGGATAGCCTTTAGTTCTAGAAAATTGATTTGTGAGTTCTTTTGTTTGATAGTTTATTGCCCTTGTATTATCATTTGATTTATCATGGCTACCTATATTACTAGAGAGGCATCTGTTAAAATTGCTATTGTTGGTGATGTTGTAATTATGCACAAAACATTCCAAGTGTTTAGATTAGTGATTCACCACTCTAGTTATTGTATACTCTGTGGTATAAAGTTAGATATGAATTCTATCCTTTTTTTTAAGAATCTAATTTTTGTTTCTTATCAATATGATGTTTTTAATCTTGTAAAAAAATTGTCCAGCTGTTACTAAGAGCTTTTCAATTATAGTTGCGAGCTTTCTTATATGAATTGTTTTCTGTCTTGAAATTAGTAAACATTCTTTTTTTATTTTATTGATCTTCTTTTTGGGTAAATAAAGATACATTTTTTTGAATTGATTATAAATCTAAATACTCAATTGATTGTATTAGAATGTGCTTGGATTTTTGGCTATTGATTTTGAAACCCAGATTTTTTAATATTTGTTGTACTGCTATAGTATGACAAAGAGCTTTGGTTTTGATGAAAGCCAAAATTATCAGATCATTCAGGTATGTTACTAATCTGATATCTTGATTTCTTGCCCAAAACATTATCAGTTTCATCATCTTTATAAAGCTTCTCGAACTGCTTATTAGACTGAATGGGAGAACAATAAATTGATAATGGTGGTTGCTATAGTCTAAGAGAAAAACTATTGCACTTGTGATGATAATGGAATATGATAAAAGGCATCCTGAATATCTATTGATATCATATAATCATTTTGTTGTATTAATAATTTTACAGTATTTATAGTTTCCATCTTAAAATGAACAAATTGGATGTAAGAATTTAATTTTCTTAAATCTATAATTACACAAGCAGATTAATCTTTCTTGGGGATAGTAAAAATTTTTGAACAAAAACATGGAATATTTGGATCGACCTCACTTATAACACCTTTATTGATCAGCTTTTGAATTTCGCATATTATCTCAGGAGTGGACTGAGAATAAGAACCTAAAGAATGTATCCAAGTGGTAGTGAAGTGGACCATTCAGAAGTATATTCTTCTCTTATTATTTGAGTTTACCAAAATGAGCTCTCGAGGCTTGATTAATTGTTTATATGGAATATTAGTCATCCTTCAATTGTGTCTTTATTCAGTTTTCCTCAGTAGTTGTGTTTGAATTGTTTAGATATTTGGGCAGCCATTTGCATTGTTGTTGTAACTGACACAATATCCATTTTCCTGATTTTATAGTTTAAAATATGAGCAAAATTTCCCTTTATGAGCATAAAAAGACTTATAATTATTGTTAAATTGTAATGACCAAAATTTTGTAAGCTTGTTGTTAAGTTTACGCTTATTGTCTGACACTCTAATAAGAAAATTATTTTCATATTCTCTTGACTAATAATTTCCTTAAGCTTATATCTAAACACTTCATGTTTTTCGATCAGAGAAGTATATTGAGGTGAAATAACTTTGAGTCATTGCTGTCTGCGTAACTCATTAATATAAGATAGGGAATTTAATAATATAATTTTGATATTCTTAAGTGTCTCTCAATAAACTGCCAGGCTTCAAACCTATCATCTGATTTATCTGGCTTGGAATTATAAAATATCCAAAGACTATTATTTAAAGGGTACAGAATTGAGAATAAATAGTAAGCAAGACTTGAAAGTAATTTATCAGTTTCTTTAGCTTGTGCTGACATAAGTTTCCATATTGTTTGTCCATAATAGATGCTTTATATTTAATATATGTATTATGAGATTGTGCCCTGAGAATGGTAGACTGGTTCTTTTTAGATAATATGGTTTATTTATATATTTTGGTGAAAAATTTAAGCATATCGCCTGAAGGTGTTTATGCTTTAATATTGAATATATTATTTTAGTTATTATCAAATATATCAGATGAGTTGTCTTCGGACTGTGTCATGTTATAGAGGTCGTATCAAGGTTATCATTGGATATAATAAAAGGAGTAGTATAAAAACATTCTATTAAGATAAATATTTTAACGTGAATGGTTGTCAAAATAAAATAGTCTAAATAATGTAAACAGGTGATCAATCTATTATATAGTAATAATGACATAATTAGTTACACAATATACTGTATCTGTGTATCTCCAAAATTGGAGGCTGCTATTAGTAAAATGGTTGTATTATATTGATATTCTATATCAGAGCAAGTGAAGTATATTTGATAAATAGCTACAGTATATAAATGCTTGAATAAATAATATTGTTGACCTATTCTACATCTTCAAAATTTCTTTTGCACTAGTTCTACCTTGGCAAGTTAGCTCTCCAGATAGAATGGCAATAAGCTCAAAGGTAAGAAGCTCTTTTAGAGAACATCTTTCTATTGAGTTTTATTTGTAAATAGATAGATAGTATAAAATAGATTCAAAATGTAATCTTCTAATATAACTATATATTATAACAAATAAAATAAAGCTATGCCAACATTTTTTTTAAAAAATAGGATTTGTACAGATTTCTCAATTGTAACTCTGGAAAAGAGGCCCAATATATCCATGAAATCTATATAGTATATATAGATTTGAGCAAACTAGACCTATCCAGAATAACTCACAACTATTTTTTTTTTTTTTTAAAAAATGCTGGCTCAGTCTTACTTTATTT